AGATTTAGGTTTAGAACTCACAAGTTAATAAGTATTATTGTACATTTTTTTCTTCAATATTATTATTATTTTTTTGCCTGATGATGGAACCTATCAAAGCAGAAAATATACTTGGCCAATTTGACGGAAATATATTGTGATGAAAGTTACTAATGTGTGCTTGTGTAACTAGGTTGATTTTGACATTTTTCAACTTTCAGGAACCATCCATTAAATAACCAAGAACTTATTCTAACTAAACTTTTTTTATTTCCAAAACTACCACCACAGCAGTTCATTCTTTAGGAAAAAAGCACGACAATATACAATATATTTATGATATACAAATATATGTATGATAACCTTCTGAAACATGCTAACTTGGAGGTTTCAGAAAATGACATTGAATTAGAACATGACCAAGTCAATCAACTTCCAATGTATGCAAAGATATACATTTTTTGATATTGAAATGATGAGAGATGTTTATGAGATTGATCAATTCATAAAAAAAGAATTTGGTGAAATGAGTTTTGGAAATGTTTTATTAAATTCATAAACTTGTAAACCCATAAAATGTTTCGGAACTATGACCACGTAACTTTAATGTAAACATTGTGGCAGCCGATCATGGGCAAACAACAATAGCCCAAGTTCACGCACTTTGCGTCAATCTCACAGTGCCGCCCAACGGTGATTTTTGTGATTTTTTGACGCAAATCAAATCAACAAAACATTTCCAAAATGCGATTCGACAGGTTCTCACGGTTCAAGGGGCAAATAATTAAAAAGCTTTATTATTTTTAAGGTAATTTTTCTGGAATTCTCGTAGTCAATTAGGAATCAAACGTGAATTAATAATAACGGAATTTATCGGAACTATTCATAATTACTCTAATTCCAAAAGTTCGTCACGATATATATAAACTGTAAATTGATGTATTAAAATAGTGTTGTTTCTTTACACCAAACATTCAAACAGTATCACATTGCTGTCTCACACGAAATTGTCATGATATATATACACGCCAAAAATTCCTGTAGTAAAAATTACTGTCCAATAAAAGACACATATAGACTCCCTATGTGATCCACTGTAGCTTTCTTATCAAGTATACAAATTAAAGAGTAAGTTGAGGGTACACAATAGGAAAACGGTTGTCATAGACCTATTCTGCCAACATAGTTGTATGTCTCTTGGAATACCTATCAAATTGAATATCACTAATGTCTTTATTTGTAAATTATTTAGGAAATGCTTCTTCGATGGAGGAAAGATCGTTGTTGTCTGAAGCCTATAACCACATAAGACTCGGCATTCACAATAACATTGTGAATATACATGGAATAGTTGTTAATGATGGTAGGTAGTGAGAGGAATGCATTTACAAACTCATCATAATGCAAAGCCGCGTAAATGTCATAGTGATGACTGGGAGGGACAAGTAGTGAGTAAATGGCGTGTGGGTGCGTGTGCGTACAGAATATACCACACCCTGAACGACCAATGTTAATTACTCATATTCAATATATCCGTGTATTCATATTGTGTCATAACTATCGTTGGTGTGCTCTACAGGTCCATTAAAGTTGGTGGTTGAATATGCCGAACAGGGAGATCTTCTAGCATATCTACACTACTTGGATAAACTAAACAAAGCGCAGAGGTCATTGTTTTCGGAACGTGTTTCCCAAGAGGGATTGTTTCTCACAGATGTCGCAATACACGTGGCTCAGGGATTGGAGTTTTTACATTCCAAGCACGTGAGTAGAGTAACAGTAAAACGTAAAACACTGCGACAACGACTAAGTAGAAAAATATAGTATTTTACCCAGTAAAATTATATTTATCATATTTAGTTAATGTTCACATATAAGTTGTTGAACACACTACATAGTTTATAATTTCATTCAGCTTCTTTCAGTCATAATTCAAGACAAATAAAAAGCAAACAATATGGAGAATATAGAGAATTATCTTTTTTCCGTAAAATTCTTGTGTAATCGGTAATTATGAATGTTTTTAAGAGGTGCATAGGGAATACATTTCGTTATGAATTATTCTTAATATAAATTTCTGAATTATCTTGTCAAAATTAGTTTATTTCAGGGTTTTTTTTTCTCCCAAAAAACGAAAGAATTTACAATGTTGAAAAAAGAATGTCTTTTTCGTCGTGGTGTAAAGGAACAGATAATACACACAACATTGCGTCAATTTGATTGGTGCTACCGAGTCAATACCATTCATGCAGTATGAATGACTGAAGCACAGTGTAATGGGTCATTTGATGCCACGTTGCTATAGCTTCATCCAACGACAAAACGTTCAATGACGTCAATCACTACTTATTATTGGTTGATGACTGATCATAAAATCGAATAAATCAAAGACGTCTCCTTCACCTACGTCCATTTATGTCAAATTCATTTTATACTTCACAAACTCAAATTTGGTCATCCCGGAAGGTTATCCATCGTGACATTGCTGCACGTAATGTAGTTATCTACGGTGATGGTATCGGTAAAATATGTGACCTGGGATTATCTAGAGATGTATATCAGACTATTTATTGCAAAAGACCGAGTCCCTCAGATGAAGAACGAGATATGCAACTTCCTATAAGATGGATGGCACCGGAAACTCTAGCCGGAGACTTTGTCTACTCAAACAAAAGTGATATGTAAGTATGTGGCTTGCCATGTTTTATTATAATGAACACATTTCCTTTGAACATGAAGACTAATATTACAATGCACATATTTCATTTCAGCGTAGTGAGTAATAATATTACTATGAAATATTCAAATTAACCATAAAGTGTATATTTTATTGTTATCAGGTGGTCATATGGAGTATTACTATGGGAGATTTCTGCACTAGGTTAGTTTTTTTTAACATGAATATCGTCATTTTGTTTTCATACTACCATGGGTACTACAGATGGAATTATGTTCGACATAAATGGTTCTGCTATACAATGTTTTGTGTGTTACCTTGATGCTATATATTTTACTCACAATGCAACCGTTGCATTTTAGGTCAGCGTCCATACCACCATGTGAAACCTGAACACCTTTTATCAATAATACGATACGGTAACATAAAACTGAAAAAATGCGCAGGATGCCCGATAGAATTGTAAGTAATTTGTCACAAGCTGTTGCCCGATGCAGTAGACTCATGGAAACGTTGGTTACTTCAGCTATATCACAGCTTAATAACATTCAATCAATGTCACAGTAAATCAGTGAATAAATAAAACATTGTAATAGTAGAATAAACCAATAAATACATAGAATCGAATCAGTTATCTTGACCTAATTCGTAAACTATTGTTATTTGTTTCATATATTTTACAAACACACTAATTTTTATCAGTACTACATTTCAGATACAATGTGATGAAACATTGTTGGCAGGAAGATGTCAAAAATAGACCATCGGCAGGAGAAATGGTCCTGCGGCTAAGACGTCTGAAACACCAAAAGAAGGTGCACGTAGTGATTAATATCTTTGAATTTTGTTGGGAAAACGTCATCACCTCAATCACGACCTATAACAAACAGTGTAATGTAACCGTTGTATGTTACCTGAATCATTGCTGTGTCAGCTTCATAAGTTATTGACATACATTGATGAATTTATAGCCATTTGTTTTTTTATTGATTTACATTTTTTTGTTTCTTGCAGATATATTTCTGTGACCCTATAATACCCGTAGATGTCCTTACTTCTGTGCCAAGACAATCCGTGCCCAGACACAAATACACAAATACGATACAAATAAACTCGATGGAGTTATCAGTGTTTGAGTAAAAATACATGGATGCGTTCCACCTGAAATATTTGTTCTAACGCATAGCTCAGGTCTGAAAGACTAATGTTTCTGGTCAGCGTGCGCACCACCAAAACGTGCGGTCCTTTTCTAAAAATATTTTCGTCACTTCACAGCGTCCCAGTAAATTTTGAACAATTTGAGTAAAATACATGTACGAAGCCTTATACAGTTAATTCAGTTATTCAAAAATATGTATTTTTTTAGTGAAGATAACTTTTCCAGATTACCTAGGATATCTTTTTTTTCTTATATATGGTTCTTTTATTTTTTTTGTTCGTATATCTGAATAGTTGTCTCAATAATAATGTTGATGGTGAAAATAATTGTTCGTTATAAATTCAACCGCGGGTTTCAGATTTCAATAAACTGTTCGATTCGTTTGATATGTATATATTTGTCCCGATAGTAATCATTTTTAATGATTTGTTGTTGAAATAATTGCACCATGCAAAATTACGGCACGCTGTAACTTATGGCGTTACGGTGACAGATGTATAATAAGGATCTTTATTTAACAGACAGCTTTCACATTTCTGTAAGCCAATTCGTGAGCACATATTTTGCTGTGTGAATGAGCTCAAATTTTTAATCTAGTTTACTCGGTAAACAAAATGTATATGTGTAAATCTAGACTGTCAAAGTTAGGACTTTGGGAATTAATTGTTAAATACAATAAAGCTATTCGTATTTGGATGTTTTGTCAAACTTTGCATTTACAATCAGTTCAATTCTATAGTGTAGTGCTACACTACTACAAATATTGCACTAGTCAATGTAAACCCTGCATACACCCCAGATGCTTACTGATTTCAAACAAACTTTGAATTTTTGTAATGTAAAAATAAACTTGTTTATGCAGTTCACCTTATTTGTGTTTAATGGGTGCATATTGAGGTCACTGGTCGCCATATTGTAAATGTAGTCTTCTTCAAAAATCACAAAATATTCTACAGGTCCAGTTCAATCATGAAACTTTGGAGATGTCTACTTAGAATAACTATCTGCCATATTTATAATTTTGAAAAAAAAACCTCTGTATTAATGGTGCGGTTCAGAATTAAAGTTGACCTAAATTGAGATTATTGATGTAAACATTCAAATTTCATCACCAAATTTACTGATTTTTCAGATATTTCAGTGGCGAAAAATCCGCTGGTAAAAAAAGAACAGCTTTATTACACTATTCCAAAGTGGTAAGAGTGTGATGAGTACTGGCCTAGATTTTCAAATTAGAATGCTGTATAATGATATGCGAATGAGGTCGTGGCGGTTTGACTGGATAAAGGGACCGTGGTCAAAACGAACACGGCAGTTAACCTGTTACCGATAGTTTCAAGATCTTGTATAGGATAGGGATAAGGAAAAGTGTGTAGGATGTGTCAGATATGTCTCAGTGTAAGACCTGCTTATTGCTAATGTGAGGGCACCCACAGAACTCACACTGGACAGGGGGTTCTTTCACCGCTAGTATGGGGTAGACAAGACAAAAGTACTGGAAATGAAATACACATACACCAAAATATCGAGTTAAAGCTCCTGGCTTTAATACCTATCAAAATAAGTACAGAAATAAAGCATAGAAAAATACAAAGAATAAAGTCACTGAAATAGGGAAGTGTGTATTGATCAGAGAGATCGCAGAGCAGTTCATACAAGTCTCACAGAATTATGGTTAAAGCCTGTATCACTTGTCTCACAATATCGCAGTAGCTACACAGTTAAAAGGATGGACCCCCAACTGTCCTTAGTCTGTACAATTTATAGGCATAAATGGCCCAGATTCAGGAACACCACCTGGGTAGGGGTCGATCCTTTTGATGTTCAGCCGATAGGTAGGTAGGATATGAACTTGGGTCTATCGACCATGAGTCTGATGCAACAACCACTATGCTACCAGTGATCTGTACTGTTTTATGTTCTCAATGGTTATAATTTATGAATGTACATAAGCTAGTGCTTAATAATATATAAAATCACATTAAAGAACGACAGTTGAACCAGTACAAGTCGCAACTGAATGTTATGCTGCTGAGTCATATTATTGAAATAGCGCACGCTTAGATGGTGTGTCGATTACTTTGAAGATATTCATTAAAAATATATGGTCTTTGAATACGTTGTCGCTATTTTTCAAGAATTGTGAAATGTCTTTATACCTAGGATTTGTTTATGCCCTGGATACAGCTTTCTCGTCTGGAAGTTGTTGGACGATAAGCATTTAATCTACCTTTAACTAGACGCATTAGTCATGGGATAATAGACATTGAATACTGCAGCTTTATTCAGACAGATGTTATGAACACTGGCTTTGTGTTAGGGGAACTTGACTCACTTATGCATAGAGATACCAGATTCGACCCAGATACAGATAGTCCAGATTTATTCATCTAGAAAGTCAGCTGCGGTAACCTCTCGCTGTCCACTTCTCTCGTTCTCAGGTCGTCGTCCGACCCCACACACCCCCCCCCCCGGCTACGAACAAGGACACTTTACCAAATACACACCGCAGGTGTTTATCTTTGAACGGGCCATCAACAACTTCATTCTATAACCAGTGCACTGATATCGAACGAGTTTTTGAACTTTGGTCGTATATGCTACAGTGTCTGTCAATCTGTGACAGTAATATCTGTTTGGCTGTGGGTGAGTCAGGTGAGCGTTTGAGCAGCCAAACTATTCAGTAGTTTATTCAAATAACCCAATAGAGGATATCGACATGAACCCTAGATTATTCAAAAGAAATAAGGTAAGTATTACTGATTAAGTAAATGCCGTCTCTTTTTAAAGTCAAATACGGTTTTAAGATGGCTAAATTTCCAACGACCTTTGACTGTGACGCATTATCGAACATACGATCGGTATCTGTAATTACAGATACAGTAATTACAAATTTGTAGATACAGATATCGAAAAGACAATAACGTACCGATCTAGTACACGTACATAAAATATAATTATCACATATGACAATACATGAATGTATAACTTGCATTAATTCAATTGACGTTTAAGTGTACGCTTTATACAAAGGAAAAAGCATAAAGTGATCTTTATAAATATACTTTATGAATCATCTTGTTTAAAAAACCAAATGATAATGTATTTGTCTTCCATCAACGTAATAGATTGGCATTTAATCACTAATTATATATAATTGTGTATTTTTGTAGGTAAAATATTTGTTCCGTTCAAGGGTCAAGCGACCATGACATTCATATATATACTTTTTTTCATATGAATATATCATTTTGACGACTCATGATTGCAAAATAAATAAAACAAATAAATAAATAAATACAATAACCGTCAGTTATGACAGCGGTGATTATAATCGGATAATCAGGTGACCTGAATTGGTTGGTTTTGGTATTTAAACGATCCGTCTAATGGATACGTGTCATTTCAAAATCGACAACCGGCGTGGTATCTGCATTAATTACCTTATTAACATAGGCAAGTCACTATTATTTAAGTAAGGTCGGAGAACTCGATGTTTTGATATGAGACGAATTGTGATTATAATTAATCTCTCTAATATTTACATGCGACAGCTGATACCTAAAACAAACATTGTAACGTTGTCCGTTTTTGTTCACCAATACAAGTTTTCAGACCTGATATTAGCCCGTCACGTGCTGGCAATCTGGTTATTTTTCGGAATGCTGAATGCATACACGATGCGAAATAATCTCAGTGTTGCCATCGTTGCCATGGTGAATAGTACAGGACAGGACAGCGATGCACAGGCCAGTGCAGACGAATGTGGTATAAATGCAACTGACACTGAAGAAGAGGAGGTAAGAATATATCTTCGCAGCCTCGCCTTGTTTTTAGCTTTGATTGCTTCCGGTGAATTCATTCATTTTTGTATGCCATGAGATCCGTTTGAATTTGTTGTGTGTCTTTTCACTATGAATATAGATGTTTGGGTATTTTGTTATTTTTACGTCATTCATTCAGTTATTCGTTCCGTTGTGTAAAATATACTTTGCAGTTAATACATAATGTTATTCTTGTAAAATGAAATAATACCATAGATTATGGTCAGAATTTCAAGGATCAAACTCAATTGTCGTCACTTGCCAAATGTAATTGATAGAACAATACACCGTATTTCTCGACAGTAGCAGAGTAATTATTTAAAATGTTTGACACATGTTCAAGCTAAGTGTTATATACTACTAGACAGGGGATTTCAACTGGAGTAGTTACCAACAAGGACTTCTTCTTGGAGCTTTCTACTATGGTTACACGATTACACAGATTCCGGGAGGATGGCTTGAAAGAAAATTCGGAGGAATGCGTGTATATGGTGGCAGCATTTTACTGTGTGCCATATTTACAATGCTCACACCGGCTGCAGCTTGGCTTGGTTTTGGAGCCATCTTCACTTGTCGATTTCTCTTAGGATTTTGCCAAGTAAGTGCGACTGATTACTAATAATTGTGCAACTAAACAATGTGTTGTTTAGTTTTGTATTTAAATAATGATTTCCATCACGACATTCCCATTATTATTGCACATATTTATCATGTCATCACACAATAATTGAAAGATCGTTACACAATATTATATAATTAACCGTGAAAACATTATTGATAATATAGGGTGCGGTATTCCCAGCTCAACATGGAATGTGGGGGAAATGGGCCCCGCCACTAGAGAGAAGTAAACTAATATCGTTCGCTAGTTCTGGTAGGTAGTACACCACTGAAATGACATGACATGAAGTGTTTTATGGATTTTTACCAAGCACTTTGTAAACGTACAGAAATACATTTTTTCAAAATAAAACACTGTGTTTTACAGGGACATAAATGTGTCACTAAAGTGTTGGGACGTCGCGCCCGACCTCCAAAAAGCAAGCTGAAACACTTTGTGTCAGCAAAATGTGCCCCTCAAAATACAGGAAATAGCGTTTCAGGGGGTCTAGATTTAAATTTTTCCGGGGAGCAAGTCTCGGCGCAAGGGGTGGTGAGCGGATCTCGTCCTATGAAAAAGTTCGTACCGTCGCCTCTGTGGGCAAACTAGACAATCACCAAAAGTGATGCAATTCAACACATAATACGATGGTCATGACATTACCTTCAGAAAATAGTTTTATTTCAAGCACCATTTTGTGGAAGAATTAATTACCAACCAAGTACAAGCGCACATCTAGATTTTAACACTCCGCATTTGGTGGACCGTGGTTGTAGTTCCAATCACATCTGAGCATTCTAACATTGGAAAACTTTTCAATTTGAAACACATCAGAGAGAAAAATCGCCAACGATGCGTTAACAAAAAGACTATAAATGTTTCACAAAGTGTTAATGTTGCACATTTGTGTTCAAGGGAATAACTAAAATACTTTCCTTCTAAATTGTTTTATCTTGAAGCACTATCTGAAACAAACACACATGCAATGTTTTCAGGTAATAAAACATTCGACTATCCATATTTCATAAGTATTCATGTATACAACATGTTCGCAAGATCAAACCAGCTATCAAACCATTTAATGGATAGAAAAGTGAAAGATGAATGAAATAGAATAAATGTAGTCTATATATGCAGATTCGGGGATTGAGTGAGAATGGGATTGCAATGGAATATGTTTAAGTAATCATGTTTTATTTCGTCAACTATTTTTGTTTTAAAAACGAATTTAAAAATGTTATTACTTTGTATTCGTTTTAGGCCATTACACATCTGTTTTGAAGTGTCAATGTTCACAGTTATTGTGTATTGTATCTACAGTTTCAAAAAGGTTTGAATTTCAGCAAACATATTTATTCTGCTGTACATAAGTCGAGGGCACTTCTTCATGCGATTGAAAATATTTTTTACAGCAATATATGTCTGTTTTATTAATGTTTATATTTAGGAATAAATACTTACTTTATTATGTAATTTGTTTATTGTATGTTATGTTTACTGTACAAAAGTGCTTAAATGCATCATTTGATATATTTTTCTCATTAAAAAATTATGATAATAATTATGATAATAATTTTTAATAACATGTTATCAGTGGACATGCATTTTAAAATGTGTCTCTGTTACAATCGCTTGTTAATGCTCAGTTTGTGTTTTGCGTGAAAGCACTTTTCAATCAAAACATGTCTTCGGTTGAGACACTTTTCTACGTGTCGTGATCATAGACACTTTACAAAATGCGTGTCTAGGAAAAGCGCTTTTAAAAGTGTTGTGCTAATAAGCACTTTTTGTCCATGTTGCTGGAGGAAACACTTTTCAAAATGTGTATCTAGTAAAATCACTTTTAAAAGTGTTGTGATAATAGCACTTTTTATACAAGTTCCTGGTGAAAATAAATGCTTACGTCATTATCATTGTGAATAATTATGTCGTTTGACGTTGTAAAACAATTAGGCAACTCGCAAAACTCACAATAATATTACGTTGTTCACATGCCCGTGTTAATCGAATTTCTATTGTTACATCAGTTCTATTTTGTACTATATAAGCCCACGCGCGATCAGAAACAATACCACTAATTTACTTCCGGTTTTCATTATCCGCAAACACAATTTTGTTTAATGTCATCTATTTTGATTGTGATTACAGGTACAAACTGGGGAAGCATCATTGCTATGTCATTGTCGGGTGTGCTGTCTGTTACACTAGGATAGGAATCTTGTTTTTACGTATTTGGTAGGTTCGAATATAATTATCCTCATTGTTTGCACACGTGAAGTGCGTGTAATGTTCGCCAAGACTCCACGGGGTGGGTCAATACTACGAAACATCGCACTATTATATTCGTACTGTTTTGAATGCTTCAAAATTATTTATAGCACATATGTCGATATATATAACATTAAGGCTGAACGAATGTTGAAGTCTCAAATTGTCCACTGAGTTTACAAAATCATCTGTCAGTTAAACATAAATACAGTTTATTTAAGTACTTGCGTTATTTTCTATTTAGGCATGGCAGCATTTTTATGGTGTGTGTTTTGGTTTCTCTTGATATGGGACATTCCGGACTCCCATCCGAGAATCATCGAGGAAGAGAGAAGTTATATTGTAAACTCAATTTCGACCAACACACATAAGTCGGTAATATGATTGTACAACACAGTAGATGATTAATATTATTATAGTTGATGAAAGTAAGACTGATCCACAACAAACCAATAATCCATCATCCGCACATTAATCTTACACGCGTGCTGGATCAAAACAAATTTCAGACATAAATGTTTAGTTCGAATATTAATTTACAATTTTTCGTATTAGTCAGTGTAAAATACTCGACACAAGAAGAACTAACTTCGTACTTGCGTACTTTCAGGGTTGGCGTGTTCCATGGTTAGCCATAGTTAAATCACCACAGGTATGGGGTCTCTTAATTGGTACATTTTGCAACAACTGGGGTAACTATACTCTACTGACAAGTCTTCCGCAATACATGGACCAAATACTTGGCTTTAATCTGGGAGCGGTAAGTTTTAGCTTATTCTGTCGTGAATATGTATTGTTGTCGTTCTTGTAACCGCTGTTTACGTTATATTCTAATATGCTCAGCAAAAATGTACCATTGCAACCTTATTTTGGTACATGCATTTGCGATATTATGTTATCTGAAACAACTGCCAAATATCGATTTCCAAACAGAACGGATTCATGTCTTCTTTATCATCTCTTGGTATATGGACGTTTACAATATTTTACGGTTGGTTAGCGGACTATACCAGACAGAGATACATTATGTCAACAATCCAAGTGAGAAGAGTTCTGACGTCATTGGGTAATGAAATATGTAGTGATAAACCATGATGCTAGCGAATTTTATATCATATATATGTACAGCCTATTAAATTGTATTATAATATGTTATTGGTGCAAAGACATTTTCAAATGGTAAATATGTTTAGGAAATACATTATTCATGGGTATATCTATACCAATATTTAAAGGTTGTCCTATAATTAACCCTACAATGTCAAAATGCTGAGTGCTGTCATTTATATTTGTTCAGAAACATTGATATTGTAGTTGTTCTTGTGTATTTATATAACCGTTTTGACTAAAGGCTGAAAAACTGCACCGATACTTTTAGTTTGCCCTATCGCGATTAAGAAATAACACTATTTCCATTGTCAACACTATAATTATGCTATTGGGAATTCCTTGGTGACATAGTTAATAATTTTGGGTTCGGTTCTAATTATTGGGTTTTCACAATCCGTGAAAATTTCCATTAGACATCGATTTTTGATGAAACACATTTCTTTCCATAGAAAATTCTAGATTTGGAGTTTTTGAAATAACGTCACAAATATATGTGGTTTTATATTACAGACTTGTTTTAGTCCACATATGAAGCTACACAATAAATATCATTTCTCATAATATTTCATGTAATTTTAGGTATGTTCCTGCCAGCCATTTTCTTAGTTGTAGCAGGACATATCGGGTGTAACCGTGGACTAGCAGTCTTGTTTATCACAATATCCGCTGCTTTCAGCGGATGTGGCACACCTGGTTTTAAAGTTAATCACGTTGAGATTGCACCCAAATTTGGCGGTATTTTATTCGGCATTACGAACACAGCTGGCAGTATTTCTGGGGCATTGGCCCCTTTAGTTGTCGGTGTGGCAACCGCGGAAGAGGTAAGTAATTTTTATACATACATTCAGAATTGCGGATCGTCTTCTTGCGTACACATTGTCATTGTTATTAATTAAACAGGCAGTTTTTTTTTGAAACGGAAACGTAATATGTGAGAAAAATTACCTGATCTTCCATACAGTCTTGTTATCTGGTTTTGCAAACATCGGACACATCAGCTGGAACTCGTTCACAATTGAATAAATGTAACTGTTACAGTAGATACTCACCAGATATCCACATTGCCCATGCAGTAATCTTGCGATATATTAGTTTGTATTTCACACCAAATAGTAGTGTGATTGTAACACGAAGAATGATTTATTCGACTGTATAACAAGCACCATTTTATACATATTGTTTTACTGGTACCCACTAGAATACACGTGAACAGTGGCAGAAGATTTTCGGGTTATCAGCATTGATTTACGTCATTGGCGGAATTGCTGTTCTGCTAACTTTAAAAGTGGAAGAACGTGAATGGGCTAAAGATAAGGAAGCTATACAGAGTGACAAAACACATCAGATCGATATGGATGTGTATGATAAAATAGGAATCGAAAACGCTGTTGACGTAAAAGAGGACGACATAGCAGCATTCCAAAAGCACCAGAAGCATGATTAGGCCATATAATCTTTGACATGATGGAGCACAATCTTCATCAATATACGAATGTTCAGGTCATCTGATATTAAAGTGATATATCACGTTCTACAAGAACCAATAGTGTCGCCAATATATTACGGGTTCCTGTGGTGGTAGGGTACTCTTAGTTGTTAAATCTCAAATTCTCATTGTTTTGCTATTTTTGCATCAAGATTTAAAATTGTAATGTATTGTTTTATGATTGTAATGACCGTGAAGGTAGTGGGTACTGAATTATTTGTTTATTTCACGTGATTTCACAAACTTTTATTCCACTACAAACAATGCATTTCATGTAAGAGTTTGTTTAGTAAGTAAGGGAGGTGTAACACTTTATGAGCCTCTCAGTCAGCTGGCGGTCAAATTCTCTATTGGTCTGAGATTATTGCGTTATGGGCTTAGGCTTGTTGGTAATGTAATCCAGCATTGAAAATTGTATGCAAACACCGGTGAATTTTGACAATCTGGTTGCACACATGAACGCAGTGTAACGATAGACTACGACAGATCACACGCACTATGTACTTTCTTTTAATGGGAATATGTATAATATTTTGATTACAAGTTCTTAAGGTAGCAATAAGTGGGAAACAAAGAGTGGTTTAAATCTCCGAGTTATTAAACGAGGTATTAAATATGTAACTACGACTCACAGGCACATGAGATGTAGAAGATTACGAACTTCGCAATATATACTAATTCCACACTGGTCCTCAATTCTGTTTTTTTTCTTTTAAGGTAGACTGCTACTCGCGCGTTTGTGTGCGCATAATTTGGGGCACATGGCAGTGACAATATTTCGTATTTCAAGTCATTCTACAATTATTTGTTTCAGTATTATTCAAAAGAGTGTACAATATTGGTTCGCTGTCCAATCTGTGTTTTGAGAAGAAAAAAAACGGTAAAATGCCATTTAGCAACGTATTACGTTACGCCACAATGAAAACAAATTTGCTCGTTAAAGACTTTCTAAAAAAATATACATTTCTCACCACGTTACCGAGCAAAGTTGTCACATAGTGAGATGTTTTCCTGCTATGGGAACAATCATGGTAAAATGTCCTAAAACAGGTTAAACAGTATTTTATTGTCGATTTTTTTCTGAACTGAGTACGGTGACCTCAAATTTTTATTTTATTTTGTTATTTTATTCATTCTTGTATACATGTATCAATATGTAAAAATAAATTATCGCTCTTGTGTATGTGTCGTGAAACTGGTGAAAATATCGTGCTATACCCGACTTTGAGTTGTTATTATTAAGCATTTGATAACGAAAAATAATCTCTCCTTACTCTGACACTCTGCCGTCATCCAAACACGCAATTCCCAAATGTGTGATGAATCAGGACCCTTGAAATATAAAACACTTGAACTACATTACATTGACTTAGAGGTTTGATTTGCTTGTTTGTGTGACGCCAGAGTAGAGAGATTGTTGTACGACGGTCATTTTTTTGCTGGTAATCCGTTGAGATTTTTAGATTTCTGCTATCTGTTCATAATACCGGAATATATAAATGATGTTGTCTAATCATTGGTGGTTTGGCATCAACACTCGGCATATTTTTGTCGTAGAAAGCAGGAGATTAAAAATAGGATCACCGCAAAAATAGTGAGCAGGACTGTGGTCAACCAAAATAATGTTTTTTCCCTCGGCCTGCAGCCTCGTGAAATAGCAGGTATGTTTGGTACCCGCAGTCTGTAAGGGGAAATAGACGTATAGTAATGTCCTCGTGGCCATGCGTTATGTCTGGTTATGTGTTCCCGGTTTATTAAGGCTTAGTTCGCCATGACACTTGAAGCGGGAACCAGTCGATGGATGTTAGGTGATAGCCTCATACGATTGGCTAAAAAAAGTAGCATTTGCATAAATTAATATTCATCAGCAATGTAAAAATCGTCTTTTGAGTAATATTGTGAAAAAATGCTTTTCGATAACCAACAAGGTAGTTTGTTACGAGCTGAAAAATAATAGAAGTATTGGTGTAAATGTGTTTTTGAGACTCGTATTTATAAGAGATCAGCAATCTGATAAAGGTAACCACATGTTGTTTCTTTAACGTGATCATAGCAAGTTACGAAATTAATAGAGAATGCAGAGGCTCGTTGATATTTCACTCTAGTACTATTGCTCAAAATTACGCATAGTGTTTTCAATAACTTTCATCAGTGACCATTTATCTAATTATTACGCATTTCGATAAATCACTATGCGTGTACATGCACAGTTTGAAATCGGCACTGAACTAAGTCATGACACCGAAGCAAGTTTTTGATGTTTTGTTGATGCCAGATTTTTGATAGGGTGGTTCCATTTGAGATGCCCGAGAACATAACGAGTACTTTACTGCGGAGTAATTTTACTGTTAGCCACTGTTTTTTTCTAATTCGCTGTCACGTTCTTTTCCATTATATATTAACTTCGGCACACCCGTTTCGATATACAGCTGTTTAATAATACAGACGTGTTTACAGCGACATACTGAACTTCCTGTCTTGTGTACTTGCCATGTTTTGAATACAGAACATCCTTGTTGTTCATTCAATGTGCATAGTTGTATAATATTTGCAACTTTTGCTGATCAGGCTAAACTATCATTGGCATAATAGTAATTTCAGTCGGGCACTGGCCACTACACTGGTGTTATTATACTAGTAATCAAATTGTCATTCAATTTCACTGCATGCATATGCTCAAAACTAGGAGAGTAGTAAACTAAAACAGACTGACCAATATAGTCAGGTTTAAGCTGACAATATATATCACATTGTGTATATACATTCACAGCATACTCATCCGAGCATATCTATTTCCATTAAATCTTAACTTGTTACTTATGTTAGTGGGCTTAATGTAATCGAAGAAACGAAACGAAACGGAACGGAACGAAACGAAACGGGATGACAAACATAATAAACAATAAACTGTAATCAGAGAAAATGGGTTTTATACGCACAATATTTACAAAATAGTTGCCGAAAATAACAATATTTCAATTAGTAAATGGCTCGTTTCGCTAATTACAGATAATCAGAAATCTGTAATCAGCGAAACAAGTGTCCTACACGTACAGTATTCACAACTGTCGGACGAAACTTGGCCAGTATATTCACCTTTCAGTCGTGTATATAACTACATAAATTAATTGCCAAAATAACAATATTTTAATTAGTAAATCGCTCGTTTCGCTAATTACAGATAATCGGAAATCTGTAATCAGCGAAACAAGTGTCCTACACGTACAGTATTCACAACTGTCGGACGAAACTTGGCCAGTATATTCACCTTTCAGTCGTGTATATAACTACATAAAATATTTGCCGAAAATAACGATATTTTAATTAGTAAATGTCTGCAGCAGAGGCCACGTGCATAAATATGTCTAGAGTATAAACAGTCTGAGGTCATCTTGGGAAATGCTGGCGAGCTGAGAAAAGGAGGTTTGAATTTGGTAATGTAGAACAAATTCACAACAAATTCTCTCAGGCAAGGACTTTGACAGAGGAGTGTATGCCATGAAACTTGTTGACGAAGTAATGCACTATAGGTTTCTGCTACAGTTCAAGCAGTGGTGTGAGGAAAAAGAGCTACACTTATCTGAGCAATTCAACAACTTACTTGGTGATCTGTGTGCCTCGATCACTGAACCAGGTCCTTCCGACACAGCGACAGATATTCTTACACGACTTCAAGACTGTACTGATGCACAGCTTCTTCCATTGATGCAACAGTATAGGGATGAAGGACGTGAACTCTCGCCCACATTCAGTTTCTGGGATGACTTTCTCTGTAATGTCATGATGCTCTTCAAGATGTTCTTTGCTGCGACAAGAGAGGCAAAGTTGTCTGTGTATCAAGCAGCCAAAGTACAGCTTCTCCCTCTTCTCTTTGTCAGCAACTGCAAGATATTTGCCAGTAATACTGCTGGCGATGTTGCGAATTCCTGATGAAAGCTGAATTTAATGAGAAATCCTTTGTTCCTAAGTTGACCGATGGAAAGTTCAACAGGGTTTGGCTGGATTATACCCTAGAAGCGACAGAAAAACAAAGCCCTAAAGGGCACAGGGGGGGGGGGGGTCATCGGCCTGACACTGAAAGGCTCAGCACTAGCCCGGTGGTTTCTTGCCAGACCTACAACTGGAATATATTCCTGTCGTTTCACCCAGATAATCAGTCATAATCGAGAATCTGCACAAGGAGGCCGTACAACCAATGCAGAGATCCGACGCTGGAACAGAGATGCCAGGTGTTACATTGACTACATGATTGATCACGCAGGTTATCTTCTTGGAGAGAACCAGATACTGTATATCAGTAGAGGTCAGATCGATGGGGCTCTGAAAATAGATAGGCAGCAATCCCTGCCCTGTCCATCACTGGTATCTCCACAGGAAGAAGTTGACACACGGATTGTGCTTCATGCTGTACTCGCAGCCAATGAAGGTGAAAAGCAGATTGTTGTCCACAGCCGAGACACAGATGTCCTTATTTTGCTTGTGCATCATCGGCCAGCTATTCATGCCAGAACAATATTCTTCCTCACTGGTCGTGAAGGCAAACACATCACACTTACTAGATGTATCTCTGTGCATACCCTATTTGAACAGCTCAGCCAATAGCAGCGCAATATTCTCCTTGCTGTATACTGTCATACTGGTTGTAATACGGTTAGTGCATTCCATGGACACGGAAAACGCACAGCCTTCAGAATTATGATGCAGAAAGCGAATCTGTTCCAGCCAATTGCAGATATACAGACAGCAGAGGGCTGCTTGCGCTGCATTTGTAGGTATATTGTATGGCCAGGCCGGATGTGTCTCGCTTGATACTTTGCAATGTGAAAAAGCAGCAAAGCAGATTACACCTAAAAAGTTTTCCCCGACTGAAAACAGCTTCCAACAGCATATTCTACGCACTGCATATCAATTGATGATATGGAGGAAAGCATATGTCACCATCCCTGATATCTCAGAAC